TTTGAGAGTCAGACTCAAGCTCGTTTAGGATCAAAAGCTTCATTAAATTTTTGGGTTATTCTTCTTAAAAGCAACCAATCTGTGATATTTTGTAGGTTGGGCTTCATGATCTTACACTGTGTTTTCCAATATAGTAGTCATATGTTCCAACAAATGTTGGGTTGTATTATGAGGTCTTTTAGACATGCTTCACTAAAATATTGTAAATCTTCAAGAAATCCCAAAAAAATCATAAATATTCATACATCTTAACTAATCCAATACTCTTACTCAACACTAACGAGTATCGGGTCACAACATATAATCAATTTAATATGACATTACTACCTCAATAATAAATGCAAGAACATACCACACATAATTTCCCATTTTACACCTCCTTTCTTAATGGCAAATGCAAAAGCAAGCAATGCACACAATTTTTACTTTTATCCAAAGTAAGCAACACACAATACAAGGAAATGTTAAGTCCACACCCTAGGCTTGATGGGACGAATTGCTTTGATACCACTAATTGTAATGCTCACATTATTTGTTTATTTAATTACCACATTGTCAATCACCACTAATAAAGATATATTCCCTCTGTTTTTTTTTGTTTGATGTTTAAGATTTATGCATAGGAATTAAGAAAATGATTGATATTTTAGTTTTTCAAAGTATTTATTATTTATTTTCCTGTTATACCCTTTATGTGATTAGAGAAGAAATATGTACATTGAAAATAAATAAATAGATTATTCAGTAAATACACATTAATTATCAGTGATAAAAATAAAAAAAAATTTAATAAATCATTGATTTTAGAAAAATAACAATGAAAAATAACAAAAAAAAATAATGTCAAATGAGAGTTTTTTACTCAAATAATATATTTTTTTTAAAAAAATTACCCAAATAGCAATTGTGCAAATTTATTTCCCCAACTAGCACCATTTACTGTTCACATATTTTTTAATTTTTTTTTTCGTTTTAGGTCTAGGTCATCTGTGAATTTTGCATCTGGAACGGTCCGTTCTACAACCAGAACGGCCCGTTTTGCATGCATTATCGTCATTTTTTTTTTGTATCTGGAACGATCCGTTCTTAAACCAGAACAGACCGTTCTAGAGTTGAGTTTTTTCACATAATCTCAATGTTGGAACGACCCGTTCTAAACTAGGGATTTTATCCCTTTTAAGTAGTTTGGAACGGGTCGTTCTGCTTTTAGAACGGTCCATTCTGGCCAATTTTATGCACTATGCCTTTTTTTTATCAATGTAATATGAATTTTAATGTTTAGCTTATAAACTGTTATAATTATACATTATTTGGACATGTTTTCGTAGTGTGATGTGCAGGTTATCTAGATTTTTCATTATTAGCCACAGTTTGACTCGTACAAGTTTTGAATCTATTAAGACAAGGTTCCATTATTATCATCTCGTGTTTTTAAGTTTAAGACACTATAATTTCATATTTCAAATGTGTTTCCTTTAAATCAAGCTTCAAACTTAGCATTGCAGCGAACATAATTTACCCTTTGAACACAAACACAACGTAGTCTCAAAGAGTAACATCAAGTAATTAAATTTATTGAATATTAACATTATAAATATAACTAAATAAATTTATTAAAACTCATTACAACAATAAAATCAATGGTGGCGAGAACTAAATCCATGACCAATATTTGGACATGTCTTCCTAGTGTGACCAGAGGTGTGACAATAAGAACAATTTTTTACACGATTATGTTGTTCTCTAATATCCATCTCTATTCTAATTCTGCTGGACTTTGGCCGACCCTTGGAAGTCCTCTTGAGTTCTGGATTTGACCACATAGTTGGACCAGTGTAAGTAGGCCAATAATCTTCATGTCGGAGCTCTCCAAACTGTCCTTCGTATACCTTTACAACTTGTTGTAAGGTATATATGGGAGATATGTAGGTTTGATAGTTGTGATGTGCATGTAAGCATGAAGCGAGTACCTGCGAGCAAGGGATATGAACTTTCTGGAACTTGCCACAATCACATCACATTTCATCTAGTCTTACTGTAAATCTCCCAGCGGGTCAAACTTCTCTCAGATGTTGCGTTTCTTCCAATAGAAATCTAGTGCTTGATCTGTCAAAGGTGATAACTCTATGAGTATTTGCTTGGACTATGCATCTAGAATAGTTTTACTTGCAATTTCCGAGTAGACATGTCCAACATTAATCATTGCATCCATTTCCTTGTCTCTTTGAACGAAAAACTTGTTGCAACGAGTGTATGTGGCCATTACCATGGAACAAATTGACAGATTTTGTGTTTTTTTCAATACAGAATTAATAGACTCAGCTAGGTTTATTGTCATGTGTCCCTAACGTCGTTCATTGTCCCATGCCAGTGTCCATTTTTTTCCTAGGAATGTTGTCTATTGGGCTGTTTCAGCATTAATATCTCTTACTATGTTGTAATAGTAAAAGAATCTAGGTTCAGTCATCCCATAGGCTGAAAAAAAATTAAATAATGAAAATTAATTATTAAATGTTTTAAAAAAAGTAATGACAAAATTACTCATATTGACGACATCCTTCTTCAATGCTGCATTTTTTAATCGTTGCATGAAATTTTGTGCAATGTGTCAAATACAATAGACATGGACAAAATTATTTTCTGTCCAACCACCTCCATTTCTTGAGTATGCACTTCGAATAGCCTCATGACGATCAGAAATTAGGCACAACCTGTCTTGCAGTGTTACATACCGCCTTAAGTTCTTAAGAAAAAAAAATCATGCATCACTAGTTTCACCTTCAACAACAGCAAATGCAATAAGAATTATGTTGTTGCAACCATCTTGCGCAACTGCGACCAATAACGTACCTTTGTATTTGCCATATAAAAAGGTTTCATCAACTTAAACAATTGGTTTGCAAAAGGCAAAACCATCAATGCATGGTTTAAAGGTCCAAAATAACCTTTTAAATATAACATTCCTCTCTTCCAATAAGCCACTTTGGTAAGCCGGTTGCGTATTAAATTTCCAAATACAGCCTGGAACATACATTTGCATTGCTTACAACATACCTGGTAACTTGTTGTACGACTCCTCCCAGTTTCCAAAGATGTTTTCAATGGCATGTTGCTTGGCCAACCATCTTTTTTTGTAACTAATTGTATAACCCATGGTTAACTTGATGTGGGCTATAGATGGTTGAAATGGGTGTAGATGGATCAGCCTCAATAATTTCACGAATGGTTTGATCCCAATTTATTATGATCTTGGGAGATGAGTGAAGAAACACATATGTGGGGGCCTTCAAGGATCATGATTTCCCAATGTTGTTCTCTAGTGCGCAATATAGCACGACATCTCCAGGCACAATTGTGGTGAACGCATTCCACGAGAAGCCTAGTAGTGTTTGAGTGCTTAACCTTGTAAGTGCAATGGTTGACAATGTGAAACCTGTTAATGGCATCTTGCACTTGTTCTTTTGTTTGGAAGCCTTGGCCAACAAAGAGTGTTCCAGGTGGATACACAACCATTTCATGTTCCAACAGGTGGCTATACTCAGTGTCTTGTTGTTGGATTTCATTGGGAAAGTCTAAAAAGTGTGGAGGTGGGTTGTATATGGCTACTGGTTCTAGTGGTGGATTATTTGGAACTGGAAGGATTTCTTCTTCGTCATCATCTTGATGTTCAAAGAGGATTTCGTCTTCGTCCTCGCTAAAAGGATCAAAGACATTTTCTGTTAGGAGACCAATAAGAAAATGATCTTCAATGTTGGTTTGAATATTGGGTTGAGAGGTAGAAGTTGTAGCTTGGTCAAATGACTGAGAAGGTATTTGATTAAGGTCCATGACTGGACCAGTTAAAAGTTGTGTGTATGACTCGACGTCGTGGTTGGAGGGAATATCATAAGAAGGGTCAGATGGGTTAGTGTTTTGATAACTTTGATAAATTTGGTATGGTGAAAGTGAAGATGAAACTTGTGGTGAAGTGAAGGTATTTATAATGGAAGGTTCTGACACCCAGAACGGGTCGTTCCAAACTTTTAAAAAGGCCTAAAACCTAGTTTAGAATGACTCGTCCTGGTTTTAAAACGGTCCGTTCTGGGTACCAATTTAGAACGGGTTGTTTTAGATGCAAAATTAACGCATGTTCAAGCAGAACGACCCGTTCTAGTTGCAGAACGAGCCGTTCCGAAACGCGAAAAAAATTAAAAAATAAGTGAATAGTAAATGGTGCTAGTTGGGAAAATAAAATTATAGTTGCTATTTGAGTAAAATTTTTTTAAAAAAATGTATTATTTGAGTAAAAAATTCGTCAAATGACTATGAAAAAAACAGAGAGAGTAACAAATAAATTAACACAAAATAATTATTTAATTACTAAATTAAATTTTTTAGGTGTTACAAATATGTCATTTAATGATTTATCACACAGTTATCAATAATTTGACAACTCATGTGAATCACATTTAATCATAATAAATATTGAGTTTTCACAAAATCATCCAATTCTTTTTAAATTTTTCTCTTAAATTATCAAGTGACACGTTACTATACATAAAACTAAATACGTCAATAACAAATGGATATAGTAATTAGTAAGTTTGTGTCACTCACATACAAATGATGATACAAAGAAATGATCATAAGAATTAAAAAAGATAAAAAAATGTAAATATAAAAATTAAAATAATCTATTTTAAGTTTTAAGTATTAAAGGATAAGAGAATTAAAATTATATAAAGAAAAATATTTTAACCTAATAATTAATTACAAAATAACATGATATTGAAAATTAACTTATAAAATTGACACGATTTGGTGATGGAGTGAAATGTGAATATACTCATGCTTGTCAGTAAATAGGAACCACAACCTCATGAACTAGTAACAGATAACCTCACGCACGGGTCAGGCCCATCCACGGTCCCATTACAGACAAACAAGACTGTAACGCAACCGCGGTCGCCTCCCTTTCTCTTTCTCCCTAAAAATTACTATATTAAAAGGGCACAAAATCTCACGAGTCAAAAACAAAATTAAAAAACGAGAGGAGAAAAGTAGTAGGAAGTAACGAGTAACGACACCCACACCGCACACCACTCCCCACTCCCCACTCAGTTCTCTTCCCTTCTCCCTAGCAAAATGCTATCTCCATAAACCCTCAAATCGCGGCAATGACCACACTCCCCAACGTTCCACCCGATATGGAAAACGAAATTGACACTGATGCCCACCGAAACGGCGCCGTCGAATCCCCCGACTCCAACCACCACACCGCAAAGAAACCCAAGCTCGCGACGCTCCCCATTTCCGAGCCCTCGATCCTCGACGAGTTCTCCCACCACCAGCGCGGCGTCGCGCGCATCAACAACGGCAGCTTCGGCAGCTGCCCCCGCTCCGTCCTCGCCGCCCAGACCGCCTGGCAGCTCCGCTTCCTCCAGCAGCCCGACGACTTCTTCTTCAACGTGCTCCGCCCCGCCATTCTACGCTCGCGCACCGCCATCAAAGACATCATCAATGCCGACCACGTCGACCGCGTCTCCCTCGTCGACAACGCCACCACCGCCGCTGCCATCGTCCTCCAGCAGATCTCCCGCCGCTCCGCCCAAGGTCACTTCCAGCCAAACGACACCGTTATAATGTTCCACTGCGCCTACCAGGCCGTGAAGAAATCCATCGAGGCCTACGTCACCCCGATCGGCGGCTCCGTCGTCGAGGTCCAGCTCCCCTTCCCCGTCCGCTCCAACGAGGAAATCGTCTCCGAGTTCAAGAAAGGCCTCGAGAAAGGTAAACTCAACGGCGGAAAAGTTAGGTTAGCGATAATCGATCACATTACGTCCATGCCTTCCGTCGTTCTCCCCGTTCGCGAACTGATTAAAATTTGCAGAGAGCAAGGAGTGGAACAGGTTTTCGTCGACGGCGCTCACGCCATTGGAAGCGTCCGCGTCGACGTGAAGGAAATCGGGGCTGATTTTTACGTCAGCAATTTGTACAAGTGGTTTTTCTCGCCACCTTCGGTGGCGTTTTTGTATTGTAAGAATAATTCAAACGACGTGCACCACCCTATCGTTTCGCAGGAGTACGGAAAGGGGTTACCGTTTGAGAGTGCGTGGGTTGGGATGCGTGACTATAGCCCCCAGCTCGTGGTGCCGTCGATTTTGGAATTCGTGAATCGGTTTGAGGGTGGGATTGATGGGATTATGAAGAGAAACCATGACGGGGTTGTGAAAATGGGAAGCATGCTGAAGGAGTCTTGGGGAACGGTTCTAGGGTCGCCTCCTGAGATGTGTGCTAGCATGATTATGGTGGGGTTGCCTTCTAGGCTCTGTGTGAAGAGTGATGATGATGCCTTGAGGTTAAGGTCGTATCTTAGGGTTTACCATGCAATTGAAGTTCTTGTGTATTACCAGGCTTTGAGGAATGATGACAGGGATCCCAGGGACAAGGACGGGTTTATAACCGGTTATGTTAGGATATCTCATCAAATTTATAATACTGTTGATGATTATCATAGGCTTAAGACTGCTATTAATCAGCTTTTGGACGATGGGAAAGTTTGCAGCGGTCTTCTTAAGGAGTGATTTGAAAGAAGAGGAAGAAGGAGGTGTAGGTTTTATCTTCAGCGGCATTTTGTGAGTATGCCCCCCATTTTTGTTGTTTTGCATCCTTTAGTTTTTCTCTTTTTAGTCAGAAATTTCTGAAACTGAAGAAGTATTCATATTTAGTTTGCAATCTAGCTTCATGTTGTACTTCAATAACTTTAATCTCCATGTTGTTCGTAATTGATTCTACTCGTATGACAGATGGGTATGCTTTATAATTGTTTAAGATTTGATAGTAACTGGTCAGAAATTCCTAAAACTGAAGAAGTATTCCTGCTCTCAACTGCTTTGCAATCTAGCTTCATATTGTACTTCAATGACTTTGATCTCCATGTTGTCTATAATTGATAATTGATTCTACTTATATTACAGAAGGGTGTGCTTTATAAGTATATTTGCTTAAGATTTGATAGTAAGAACTAATAATATAATTGTGATAGAAGTGTCACTCAATACAAATAATTCGCTTGGTTTTATAGTGCATATATTTACTACTATGATCAGTTTTCGTACTTTATGTTTTTCAAACTTGAGGGTCTAATGGCTGACTTTTGAGTATAGCTGGTGTTTCTTCTCTTATTTGTTTTGTCTTTTCCGGTATTATTATTATTATTTTTTTAACTCTGAACAACCATGGTTACAGATTATGGTAAACTTACACGTGACAGCCTTAAATTCCAATGTATGTAACGACTTTGCTAAGTTACGAAACTAGTAATCTCAATTTGTCATGTAATATATAATGTTGTTAAATAACCATTATAGCGTGGCCACAACTCATAGCATGGCATATTTTGACCCCTCCACCATAAGAAATTTGGGAAGGGTGGCCCACAAGGTTGTTGTCATAGGCTGCTATGGTGTGTTTATATTGCAGGATTTTGCCCTTCTGCTTCATTCCATCATCCGCCATTGATAACCTTAAATATTTTGATCCTTTAAGTGTAGGATTGTCTTTGTTAGCGAAATTCTAAAGGATTTTCTAGTTAACTTTTACAGGGAGGAAAAGGAAATTCTTGTTGTTCCAGTAAATTGACTATTTTCATAACCCGTTGTTTAAGTTTAACATTATGAATGTTGGGTGTGTTTCAGGTCCTGGACCAATTCTTGATGATTAGCTTTCATAATTTTGGTGGAATTAAAGAGGGTAGGAGGCTGTTTGGTTTGAAAAAAACATTTATGATTTTATTTTTTAATTTTACTACGTTTTCTATTTTTTTTTCAAAAGTTTATGTAGGAAATAGTGAAAATAGAAAATGAAAATAGGCCTGATTACTCATGTTTTCATTTTTTAATTTCAAAATTGCCTCCTTGTTTTCAATCCATTTTCTGTTTTCAATGATTTGTACACGAAATACTGAGACAACTTTTTTTTTTTTGTTTCTCGTACAAATCTTTGGAAATGGGAAACAAATTGAAAACAAAGTGGTAGTTTTCCTAAAAGTCTAAACTGTTTCTTATGCAAACTTTTGAAAACATGAAACAAAGTGAAAATTACGTGACATCTTTGTAATTAAAAGCGTAAACATGGAATGAGAACATTTTTTTTTTCAAACCAAGCAGTCTCTAAATTTTTGTGTTAATGCAACCTATGCTACATTTTATGCATTTGGTTGGGGAAGAAATCTCATTTCTAAGGTGTTTTTTGGTCAACACTTGATTTGGTTAAGCTTTGGGAGTTCATTTGACATAAAGTACCTGGCATTTTTAATGGTGATTCATTAAGAGATATGTTGACTGATTGGTCAGCTTTGTTCCATTCAATTTCTCTTTTTATTGGTTGATTTTTGTTATGTTCTCTTAGGAGGGGTTTCTTATCCTCTTTTTTGTTTTGCAATTTTTATTCTATCTTAATTATCTTTTAATAATAAATGAAATTTGACCCACCTTTATTTGTGTCTTACGTATTATTATTAATATTAATATTATCATCTCCATAGAACTCCTATGTGTCAAAAAGTGTTCAGGGAAAGGTTTCTAACACCCCCTCCTCTCCTTGGGTTATAGAGTGAGTTAAACTTTTAACAATGCCTCAAACTCAAATGAATTAGATGCTTTGCTCAGATGATCTCCAACATCTATTGTGATCTCTTATCTACAGGACCTTGAATTATGGAAGGCTTGGATTAGTTTTTAAGGCTTATACTTCTAAAATTTATCCGCAACTAGGATGGAAAGCCACTTCTATCGGTTGTTGAAATGACTTAGCTGCATATCTTATATAACTACTAAGTGTTGATCTAAGCAGCATAAGTGGAAAAATAATAAAAGTAGAATCACGTGATTAATTATAATTGGATGTTAGCCATATGCTATGCTTAGGTTATTCAGTTCATGGTAGTTAATGCAGCTGCCTCAAAAATGCTTTAGTGGGTTGACTTTTATTTTGATCCCTAAATAGATTTACGTTACACAATATATACAATGTATATTATATATTTATGCTGAAAAATAAAGAAAAAAAAACCTAAAATTAAGAACATATTCATAATGAATCATTGAAACTTAGGGCGTGTTTGGTAGTACATAATTTTTTTGTGTGCAGAGACTAAAATCTATTTGGTTAGTTATAAATATTCTCAATGGAACAAAGATTTTTATGTTTGTTTCAATAGAACTTTTCCATAAACTTTAATTATTTATAACATTAAATAAGTTAATAAAGATGTTAAAAAGTTATATTCTCACCTCCCCTATGAAAACAATTTCATGGGAAACATAGGTAAAAAAAGATTCCACAAAAAATTGTTTCATGAGAATATTATTTTTTTAAATAATAAAAAAATGAAAAACAAATATTTCCAACTTTGGATTCTTGGGAAACTAAAAACTTGTACGGATGTACCAAATACTGTTTCATAACCAAATGCACAAGTTGATTATAACAAAGGAATCATAGTCAAACAAGCTTAAACCTCTAAAGCTTACAATAACTAAATATATTCAATCAAAATCTAATACAATGCTAATAACTATCATCATCGTTAGTTCCAAGGTCAACCCTCCCTTTGTCATTCTTGCTTTGTAAACCTCTTCTTTCTCGTTGCTTTCACTACTATCTTCTTCTTGTACTTGTGGTTCTTCCTTTGCCCTCCCCTTAGAGGTGGGGGGTCTAGAACTAGAAGTTGCAGCTGCCTTCTTTGCTTTTGTGTGTTGCCTAGTGTATGTTATAGGCTCTTGACCCTAGTCGTAGCTGCCATAGCTCCCAAAGTCAAATTGTCATAATCTAAAACTATTTCATCTTCAGCAACTTCTTGGTCACCAGCCATTTCTCCTAATAACGATCACTCATTACATTCATCAACATTGTTTAGAACATTGAAATCCATCATTTCATGACGATCAAAATGTCCCTCAAGTGTTTGGTTATATTTTATAAATTCCAAGTTCACAACCTTTGATATTAAAGTCTGCTCATTTTAGCTTCACTTTGTAGCATGAATCTATTTCGAAAAAATGTTAATTTCACATTCTTACGTGAAACTCTTTAAAATGAGTAATTTGACAATTGAGAATTACTTACATGCTCAAGATACTCCAATTCCTCTTGCATTATGATCAACTACAAGTCAAACTCAACACTTATGACAATTTTTTGTAAACATGGAGTTTCTAACCCAATACTCCTTTGCCATTTAGCTACAATGGAACAACTTATTAGCATTGTCATTTACAAAATTGCATAATCATTTAAAATTAAAGGGGAGTTGTAGGAATTGTGTGTGTTGATCCACTCATTGCACTTTATTTATAATGAATTACAAATTTACAATCAAGGAAATCAGGAAAGAAAGATACGAAAAAGATTTGTAATCCCCAATTTTTAAATATACATATTTTTCATATCTTTAACACTCCCCCTCAAGTTGGAGCATATATATCATATGAACCAAGCTTGTTACAAATGCAATCCACCTGAGGCCCCTTGAGAGATTTAGTGAATATATCTGCCAATTGGTCATTGGAACTGACAAAGTCGATGGTGATTTCACCAAAGAGCACTTTTTCCCTCACAAAATGACAATCTATCACTATGTGTTTAGTTCGTTCATGAAATACCGAATTAGATGCAATGTGAAGAGCAACTTGATTGTCGCAAATAAGCTTAGTATCATGAGTGTCTCCAAGCTGTAGCTATTGTGGAAGTTGTCTTCGCCCTGTAATTTTGCATGCAGCTGCAACCATGGCTCAATATTCAGCTTTAGCATTGGATCTAACTACTATAGTTTGCTTCTTGCTCCTCCAAGAGATCAAATTCCCCCAATAAGAATACAATAGCTAGAGGTGGACATCCTATTTAATGGTGATCTTGCCCAATCAACATCAAAGTAACAAACAATTTTAGCATTGTCTTTGTCTTCATAAAATAGTTTGTGACTTGGTGCATTCTTGATATATCTAAGGATGCACATGACATCATCCCAATGGCTATCACATGGGGCATTTAGGAATTGACTTGCAATGCTTATTGCAAATGTGATATCTGGTCTAGTGATATTAAGTCTACCAAAAAGTCAAGGATATCTTCTTGAGTCTTTCAGTGGCTCCCCCTAACCTGAAAGAAGCTTCATTTTAGGTCCCATAAGTGTCACTTGGGTGACAATCAAGCACACTAGTTTCACTGAGAATATCTTGAGCATATTTTCTCTAGGAAATGGCTACATCGGAGGTTGATTCAACAACCTCAATTCCTAAAAAATATTTGAGTGGTCCTAGGTCTTTTGTCTAAAATTGACTCTGAAGGTGAGATTTGAGTCAATGAATGCCATTAGAATCATCACCAGTGATGACTATGTTATCAACATAGATCACTAGATAAATGCACAGACCAGATGGAGAGTAAAGAGAAAAGACAGAGTGGTCAGCCTCAAAACGAATCATACCAAATTATAGTAAGGCAGAGCTAAATTGACCAAACCAGGCATGAGATGATTGCTTCAGGCCACACAGAGAATGAGGAAGACGACAAACAAGGTGATGATCGTTTGAAATAGTGAAACTGGGCGGTTGATCCATGTAAACTTCTTCCTGCAACTCACCATGCCAAAAAGCATTTTTAATATCCAACTGATGAAGTGGCCAATAGCGAATGGCAGTCATAGCAAGAAATAAATGAACAAATGTGATCTTGGCCACTAGGGATAAAGTGTCCCCATAATCAAGACAAAAAATTTGAGTAGAGCCCTTAGCCACCAATTGAGCTTTGAATCGGTCAATATCACCATTCGGTTCAATCTTCATTGTATAAACACAACAACAACCAACTGTAGTCTTGACATGAGGCAAAGGAACTAGTTCTCAGGTTTCACTTGCATGTAAAGTAGCCATCTCGTCCAACATTACTTGTTGCCGATGGGATCAACCATGACTTCACCTGTAGACTTAGGAATAGACACAAAATCCAAAGAAGAGATAAAAGAGAAATATGAAGGAGATAACTGGTCATAGTAAAGAGTACAAGCATGTAAAAGGTGAGGATTACGAGATAATCGAATACCTTTGCGTCGGGCAATAGGAAGCTCAAGTGCACGAGATGTTGGATGAGGGACCTTTGGACTAAGAGATGATGCTAGGGGATCAATTGGTGGAGTTGACATGCGTGGTTGGGATCATTGTTGATATGTAAGTGGTGGGACAGCAACAACAATTGGGGCCGGTACAATAGGTGGAACATCCAAAGAAACCTTCAATGGAACATTATTGACAAAGGAGTTGACTCAAAGAAAGTGACATTAGTAAAAACAAGATATTTTTGTAGTTAAGGATAGAAACAATGATATCCTTTTTGAAGGTGAGAGTAACCAAGAAAAACACATTTAAGTGACTTGAAAAAAAGTTTATTTTTACATGGAATAAGATCATGGACAAAACAAGTGCATTTGAATTGAAGACATGGGAGAAACAAAGTGAAGGTCTTTGTTGAGGGTACAAAATGGAGAAGGGAATTTGATTTTGGAGGACAGATGAGGACATTTGATGTATATTTTTTTTCGGGTTATATCACAAGTGGTGATTTTGCCACAAAAATCATTGGTAGCAATCTTTTGATTGTTGATGTCTGTTTAAGTTATTCCATTGCCAAACTATATCCAAATTAGTATTCGTAGGGTTGATCAATGCATAGGAAATGGCTGATTGAAAGGCATAGTTTGAAGTGGATGAAACCATTATTTCAAGATTTTTGTACCGATTAGAAAAGGAATAGATAAGAAAAAGATGGGTCTTCCTAAACATTGGAGATTGGTTGGAAAAGTCACCGAAAAAAGATGGCTTATTGTTGGGAAATCAGGAACAAAGAAGAGAAAAAAGATGGGTCTCCAGCAGCAGTGGGCGATGGTGAAAGGTGCAACTCACAGTGAAGTAGAAGAAGAGAAAGTGTGCAGTGCTAAGGATTGGCTCAAGAAAGTGTCAAGGGAAGAAATTGATTTAGAATATAATGAGTACAATTTTTTCCTTTTACCTGTTAAAAAGTATAAAATGACACTGAAAAAGGAGCAAAATCATACTTAGTGCCAAACACTTCGAGCGGCCATGATTTGCTGTGAGGGGGGGGGGGGGGGTACCCACTCATATTAGAGCACGATTAATTACTCTGATTCAATTTTTAGAAAGTTTTGATGTCTGGGTGTAAAGAATGTTGTAGGATACCAGAAACTTCTAGCCAAAACTTAAACAATGTCGAACTGTGGCCATGTATGATTATTGAGTGTGTAAAGCTAAGTGGTTAAAGCTAAACATATTTATTTCAGTCACAAACTCGAGGTATCCAAGTCAACTTTGTTAGTGTATCTTGTGATTTATATCTAGGCCAGAAATGGAAAATTTAATCTCTCAAATAGAGGAAATTTATCTTGTCAATGGAGGTGGATGTCTCTATCCACTGACAAGTCTGTTCATAACTTATCTTACCTGTCTCTTTGCCCATGCTCTTGTAAACCAAGCTTTTGTTTAACTAGACAAAAAATTGCTTTCTCAGCCATATTTTTGTTTCTTATTGAACTTTTCCTGTCTCAATTATGGCACATAATTTTCTACCACAATAATAATAATTTTTTTGGAGTAAAGTCAACGGCAAAAAAGTGGCAGATATCTCTTTTTTGTCGTGCCACAGTTGCAAATATTGCTTTAAATGAGCAGATTGTGATGACCATGGCTGAGCCATACTAAATTATGCAGAGCTGGTTAATAGGATTTGTATTATTTTTGTTCTTAAATAGGCAAAAAAATATCCATTAAAAAATCTATTCTTTTCTTTGGCACTCTGGAATTACGGCTCTCTGCAATATTTTTTTTCCGTCTTTCATTTTTTTTTTGGAAGAGATGGGGTTAATTCTTGCCAATATTAATGCCAAAAGATGTGATTTTTTACTTGTCTCCTACACAGGCGACAGTTTATCTTTGAATCCTTGAGTTAGCATTATTTTTTGCTTGTATGAACACGATTGACAATTCAACTATTAAAGTTCTTGAAACTTTTCCTCATGGTTCTTTATGCTATGATTATCGAAAGTTTTGTGCTATTAATATGACAGGTAATTGAATATGTTAAACTGTTGGAGCCCAGGTGGAATAACCTATACAAGTTAAACTATGTATGCCGGGTCCCGTAATTATTGAAGAATAAAAGAGGATTTTACTGGAGGGTGCCACAGAGTTCAGTAGGGATTCTGACCGTTACATAATGAAAGTAAGAAAGCTGATTATTTTCGACGTCTATCTTTTGGGACTGTGCAGCATTCTTTAGTTCTTCTAGTGGATTTAAAATGAGTTTCATTCATGAGTTAACAGCCACTTAATCATTGGCTACCGCTTTGTATCTTGACTCTTGAGGTTTGCTTTTTAGTAACTGGAGCAAAGCATGTTTAAATCCTGCTTTGGCGCTGAAATCCGATGGTGGATAACTACTCTGTAAGAACTAAGGTCTAACAAATGGTTGTAACCACCAGTTTAAATTCAATTTTCTTTACTAATCAACGCAGGGAATTCAGAAATGAGTATTTCCAATATTTGTAACTACATGTAAAATTGATACCTTTTAATGTTGTAGTGTGCTGCTATACTGCTAGTGTATTTATCATTCATTAACACAATCTATAGAGATCGTTGTTGCCACACCAGGGGGGAACAATTACTTGCATTATCTGATGTCAACTAATGGCTAGCTATCTTAGAATTTATGGTACGTGCAAGCCATATGCCAAGCACGATCGTTATTAATGGCCAAGATTCTGTTGTCATGTCAGGTGCATCTAGGGCTCGTAAGCTAGAAGTTCTCAATCACTCACTTTATTTAGTAGTATAGATATTCACTTAATAAGTATCTATAAATTTTATATATTTATGGATATTCATAGATATTTGATAAAATATAAAATTTTAACTAAAAATGTTAGAAATAAAATTTGAATAATTTTAAACATTTATATTAAAAATAATTTTGTAATATAAATTTATACTAGAAATAAATAATTATAAAACATATATTTAGTGTAAAAATAAATTAAGTCAACTTGAGAGCATTTTTAATATTTTTAAAGGATGGATATTCATAGGTACAGACAGATATTTTACTATTTATTTCTGTATTATTATTAAGTGAATATTTAATTAATTATTTATTTAATATTTATAGCGGTTTTTATGTATAATATCTGTATTTACGAGTTCTTTTTCCCGTCCCTATGCATCCATTCGGCTAGTGATACTGTTGCTGTGTTATCAAACATCAAACTGCATGGTGATAGAAACAAAATTTTCTGCAATTTGAATGCAATTCAAATGAGCGTTTTCTGGATACTTCATGATGACAGCTGCTAAAGCTTAGACATTAAATTTGAACAAGCGAGTCTAGCCTAACCAAATTCGGACTGATTGGAGCCCATTATGAAGAATTCTCTAATCATAATTTCTAGTTCTAGGTGACATCAAATTGCAAGTTTGTTCCAAAACTTCTATGGTGCAGGTGTTTCACTAGAACCATCTTAATTATCTTGCAGATGTTGATATAGGTGATAAGCCGATCTAACTTAGCACCCATTTTGTTTGCCATTCTGGATCATTTTATCAGCATTGTAACACAAGGTAAGTTCTTGATCCCCTATACAAACGGAAGAAACAGAAAGTCCTGCTCAGAATTAAACTTGTTTGAAAACAGTAGTTTTTAAAATAAAAAACTAGAGCATCAATGTTTTTTGTTTTCTGTTTTTAATTTTTATTATCCATTTTTCGATGGGACTCCCGTGGAGTTTTTTACTTAAATAATATTATTTTTAAAAAAATTTACCTAAATAGCAACTGTGCAAATTTATTTCCCCAACTAGCATCATTTACTGTTCACGTTTCGGAACGGGCCGTTCTGAAATTAGAACGGTCCGTTCCAGATTAAAAAATAATACATGAAAAATAAATCAAAACGGGCCGTTCCAAAATTAAAATTAGCATATAAAAAGTGGAACCAGAACGGACTGTTCTGACTTACAAATAATTTTTTTTTTCGATTTTCACTTATTAAATACTAAAACTCAAAAACTAACATCAAATAATTAAATTTATTGAATATTAACATTATAAATATATCTAAATAAATTTATTAAAATTCAATACAATAATAAAGATCAATAGTAGCAGAAACTGATTATGTTGTTCTCTAATGTTCATCTCTGTTTTAATCTTGCTAGACTTGGCCGACCCTTGAAAGTTTGCTTGAGTTCTGGATTTGGCCACAAAGTTGGACCAATGTAAGTAGGCCAATAATCTTCATGTCGGAGCTCTCCAAACTGTCCTTCTTATACCTTTTTGGAACTTGTTGCAATCATACCACATTTCATTTAGCCTTACTGTAAATCTCCCAGCGAGTCAAACTTTTCTCGGATGTAATCTTCATGTCGAAGCTCTCCAAACTGTCCTTCGTATACCTTTTTAGAACTTTCCACAATCATATCACATTGCATTTAGCCTTATTGTAAATCTCCCAGCGGGTCAAACTTTTCTCGGATGTAATCTTCATGTCGAAGCTCTCTAAACTGTCCTTCGTATACCTTTATGGAACTTGCCGCAATCATACCACATTTCATTTAGCCTTATTGTAAATCTCCCAGCGGGTCAAACTTTTCTCGGATGTAATCTTCATGTAGGAGCTCTCCAAACTGTCCTTCGTATACCTTTATGGAACTTGCCGCAATCATACCACATTTCATTTAGCCTTATTGTAAATCTTCCAGCGGGTCAAACTTTTCTTGGATATAATCTTCATATCGGAGCTCTCCAAACTGTCCTTCGTATACCTTTCTGGAACTTGTCGCAATCATACCATATTTCATTTAGCCTTATTGTAAATCTTCCAGCGGGTCAAACATTTCATTTGGAGAGCTCCAACATGAAGATTATTGGCCTACTTACACTGGTCCAACTTTGTGGCCAAATCCAGAACTCAAGCGAACTTTCAAGGGTCGACAAAAGTCCAGCAGGATTAAAATAAAAATGGACATTAGAGAACAATATAATCAGTTTCTGCCACCATTGATCTTTATTGTTGTATTGAATTTTAATAAATTTATTTAGATATATTTATAATGTTAATATTCAATAAATTTAATTATTTGTTGTTAGTTTATGAGTTTTGGTATTTGATAAGTGAAAATTGAAAGAAAAAAAAACTATTTGTAGATCAGAACGGCCCGTTCTGAAAGCAGAACGGGCCGTTCTGGTTCCACTTTGTATGTACTAATTTTGATTTTGGAACGACTCGTTCTTATTTATTTTTTATGTATTAATTTTTAATCCGGAACGGGCCGTTCTGATTTCAGAACAGCCCGTTCCGAAACGTGAATATTAAATAGTGCTAGTTGGGAAAATAAATTTGTACAGTTACTATTTAGGTAAATTTTTTTTAAAATAGTATTATTTGAGTAAAAAATTCACTCTCGTGACTTTCCAACCCTACAAATTTTTTTTTTCTCGCTCTTTCATGCAAAAACTTAAACCATTACTTCATATATATATATATATATATATATATAAGTAGTTTTGGTGGATATATATATATATATAGGGATCATATCAAGTGAGAGATAATTTATTATAAGAGATGGGAGGGTTAAAATATAACCTTTAAATTAATTTCCTCTCACTTGCTTAAATCCTAAATTTTCTCTCACTTTAAATTTTCTCTCACTTGATATGCTTCGTATATGTATATATATATATATATCAACGAAAGTTGAAGTGTCCTAATAAATATTATCAGAAGGGATGCATAAATGAATTTTCGTTGTCAAAGTTATAATTTGTTAATGTGTCGATGCATAGATAATATAGGATTAAATACTTTTTTAGTGGACGAATTTTTGTTTTTAATTTCTGAATAAATTTTATTTTATTTTTGTCTCTGAAAATTTTCTCCATAAACAAAAGTTTGACATCAAAGACCAAATTAGTAAAATGTTAATGGGAGAAAAAAAATTCAAAAGCTAAAAATAAAAAATTGACAAAAATTTAGAGGTTAAAATTAGTAAAAAGAATTGTTGTGAGACTTAAAAAAATGACAAAAATTAAAAGAGTAAAAAATATTTAATCTTATAATACATTAATGCATGCATTTTCACAAAAGAAACTATAATCGAGTGCTTAAGGAGCAAAATTTCTAGTGAGTTATGGTAACTAAACACGTGCTGTATCAATCAATATGATACACACTGCCTTCTGTATATTACCTAGAAATTGATAGAAACAAAAAAAAAATGGTATTCACAAAATTGCTGAATACATTGCCATATTGCATTTGTGAGTTTTGACATATGAACAAGCTACAGATCCATGTCATATAGCTATATTTAATTTTAAGATTCTTCCTTGATAATTTGTGCATTGGTTATGGTTTGGTTGGACCCGTCAACTATTTTCAAGCTTATCACGTTGCCTAGAAAAGTCTGCTAGAAAGAAAAGAAGAAAAAAATAATAATTTATAAGCCGTTCATTAGGGATGTACTATTATATTAAAGTCAAGTCACAAGCTAAATTTAGGTGGATGAAGGAATCAAGTACCTATAAAAACGGGCACTAATTAAGGAATCATCATCGCATCAAAATCGAGTACATACATGCTTCTTTAACGCAGAAAAGTGACCCTTTTTAAAAATAAATAAGCACTTAATGTTGCAATGCTCAAGTTCATTAAAAGTTTAAAATTCCTCAGTCTAACAAATTAAACAGTACTTCTCCAATCTTGATATTTCTATTAATTTAGTGCAGCAAGGGGAAGAGGAAAGTACAGTGGTATGTTCTGAAATTGAGGATTGGAGAATGCTAATGGGTGCACCTAACGAATTGATTAATGTATTGATAGCACCTAAAATACGAGGTTCTTGTTAACAAACCGGAAGTTAGAAGCTTTTATACAACCATATAATGTAATATTCAACACCTCTACCATAATTTTATTTTATTTTTCAATTCCTTGTAACACATAGTCCTTGAAAATTTAACCCTTTTAATTTCATATTATATCTAGCAAATCTCACTTATGTAAACTCAACCAAAATCTTCGAAGAGTATCTTATAACAATTCAACAAATTATTATACTTAGTACAATTTGACTACTATGTAGTAGAAACATAACTTATAACATATTTGAGGTAATCATGTAACGATTATATAAACATGTAAGTTGCTGAAAATAAAAACCCTTATAGACTATACATACCTTATACAAGCATAAGTACAATTATATAAATACATAATTGTATACAAAATAGACCTTACATTGTCAGTCAAATACATATATACAACTTGACTACATTAGAATAACCATCAATAAATCAAAGTCATCACCAACATGACTCATCATCAATTGTACAAATCGTCCTACTAATCTTGATCTGCTCCCATGAAAAACCATGATCATTGCAATCTCAACTACAAGAAAAAACACATGGTAAGCTTATGAAAAAAGTTTAATATAAAATTATAGCACCAACTTTAACATATAACTTTCAACTTAAGATCTACATCATACTACATCATAACTAGCATTCATTTCAACAACCATCACATCATAACATCTCAATGAACAACTCATAACTTAAAAGCAACATATCATCATCACTTAAGCAAC